TTGGAAAAAATGGTATAATTTGAATATAACAAAATAGAAATTTTTGGAACCAGGTCCATTGTATATTCTCACCATGCCCAACTTCATACATAGATTTCTTTCTATTTTATATAAAGTTTTAACGGTCTGTTCTATGAATTAAACGTCAATCAATTCATCATAAAAATGCAGGTGGAAGACTCCATATGCAAGTAAAAAAAAAAGAAAAAGTTTATCACAATTTGTTTTCGTTGTTAATCTCTGTGAACTTTAAATTTATGATCATAATTGGGAAACATTAATCAGGATATGTATATGATTTCTCTTTCTCTTTATGAATGATAAGTAAATTCCACAAACTTAAATTTAATCATCATTGTACTACACATTTAATTGGACTAATGGCCGGTTTGATAAACAATCTGATAATATATATATACCATATATACCAATCACTTGAATCATAAATATACTAGTATATACTAATGTTAACCTTAAAATTTTATCGGAATTTACCAAATAAAATAAATGGTAATACAATGTTTGTCATTTGACAGGGATTGTATTGTACAGGACATGTGATATACATCATTACTTAATTGACGATCCGTCCACTACATATTTTTTTTTACATAAAAGTCTGGAAAGATATCACCCCCGAAAGATGGCACCTTCTAAAAAAAAATCCAATAAGGATATGTTTCACAGGATAAACAAAAAAATATCCTACAGAAAATTATACACCTCGTCATATTTAAATCATCATATACAATATTTGCAAAAGTTCATGGAAGAAATGAGGCTAATATAATTTTTTTCATTTGTTATTTAATATTTTGTGTAATAAATTCGTTACCTTTTTTGGATAATCTTATGCTAGGACCTCGGACAATCATATTGTAAAAGGGGGTGCTATCTTTCAAGACTTTACGGTATGTAAAAAACCTCAAAATATTATTGATATAATTTTTTTGTTAATTGTAATATGGTTGGCTCGGTCTAAAGACCTCCTATTGCTGCGCCACGCGCTCAAATTTCACAAATTGCAATTTCGTGATTCGTTCAAAAATGCAATAATAATAATAATGAATAAAATTTTATTATTCGTAACCAAAAAAAAAACATTATTTGTGTAACAATTATGGTTTGAATTTTATCCTTTTATCGTTAGAATAAATAACTAAAATTTGTTTGTTTTACATCAGAGAAATTGATATTGTGTTGTGCAATAAAATCAAACCTTGCTCTTTTTTTTCCACTGATAAATAAACCATGGTTGATTCGATTAAACAAGCTCCTCCATTACTCAGACGTTCATCAAGTAATTTATCAAGAGCACCAACACCACCACCAATTGAAGATAATCCAATATCATTAAAAGTTTCAAAAGTATTAACAAGACCAATTGACGATGTAAGGGTTAAATCAGCATTAGAAGCACTTTCTGAATTTTATATGCCAAACTTAATTGATCATCATGGTCATCATGGTTTACGTGAAAATATTGAACAAAAATCAATTGAAATTAATCGAAACTTTCTACAAGTATTTCATAAATTAACTGAGGTATTATTAAAGTAATTGAAGTGAGAATGATATTGATAATAATTTGGCGATGAATTTATCATTTATTTATTCGAAAAAATTTTTCAATTAGCAATTGTCAGTTATTGAATTAGAAATAAAATCTATGAATGAAAATTACGAAGAAATAGAAAAAAATCTTAGAGATGATCTCATGGAGATTGAAAAAAAACTAAATTATAATAATGAACAATTGTTAGATCAAATGAAAACTTTGTTAAATGAAGTTAAGAATTTAAAAAAAAGCAATTAAATTAAATTTTTATTAAAATAAAATATATACTTACTACAATAGTCATGTGATGTGTTAAATATTGCATCTCGATCAACCATTATCTTTCTATATGTTTATTGTAATGGTTGCACCACATATCATGTTACGCTGTAAATCTTTATTGCAATATGCTTATTACACATATGGGCCAAAAAAGTTATACCACCT